GTGTACTGGCCCACTAGATAAAATATACTTCTTACTGTGGGTCATGGTTGAAACTCATTGAAAAATTATAGGAAAATAAATATAAGGTGACAAGTCAATGTTCACATTTCTTTGTTTGATAAAATTTGCAAGAAATAAAATTAATTATATCATTTTTAGAATAAGTTTGGATTTTTTTTTCTTTTTTGGCACTGGGAACCATATTCAGGAGCTTGCCCTTGCCAGGCAGGCACTTGGTGAGCTATATCCTGGGCCCAGATTTGATTTTGGGGGTGAGGAAAGAAAGAAAAAGTTTTGCAAGTGAGTGAAGAGAAATGAGAAGATACACAACAACCTCTGTGATATTTAATATGTCTTGGCAGGAGAGTGATTTAAATTTACTAAGCTGATACAAAACTTAGATAATACCATACCCTGGTTAACATTATAGCTAACTGGTATGACATAAAAATATTTCCATATCAGTTTGAGATTGACATGATGTGTTTGTTCTATAATTTATAATGGATACATTTCATTCTTTTTAAAATTTTAATGAAAGATCTTTGTGTGAGCTATGTCTTTATACATACATTGTATCTGACAAAGCATGCATCTCTGACATTTACAGCTACATGATCTTAGACAAGTTATTTAGGGCTCTCTCTGTTGCACACAAGTAGAAGTATTTCTTTCATAGGTATGTTTTGAAGATAAAATAATTCGCAAAACAGTTTTGAAGTGTGCAGAGAATAGTCCAGCATATTAGTTGTGCAATAAATGTGAAGTTGTTGTTCAAAGTCTTTATTTTTCATTTTCTCAACAACCAAACATTGGTACAGAAAAGGTATTCTTTGTTTTATTTTAAATTTTATGCGCTTGGTACTATGCAGCTTGGACTCATAGTGATTCTAGGTGTGCCACCATGCCTGGATTGGGTAGCTGGCTTTGCGTGCCCCGGGGCAGGGCTGGCGCAGTATGTGGTGCCGGGGGTGGAACCCCAGTCTCTTGTCTAAGCAGTCGCTGAGTCTGCTGAGCTATTTTGCCAGCCCTTACTTTCATTACAGTTAGGCTCTTTCTCTTGGTGGAAAAGCAGATGTCATAAGGAGAGGCAGGATAACGAGAACAGGAGAAGAAAACCAGTTTTTTTTTCTACAGCTTGTATATTCGCTCAGTGTGATAAATTCACTGAAAGAGCTTGACACGGATGCATTAGAAATATCAGTCATCTTAGAATCAAAGAGAAAGACACAGCAACTTTTTGAAATATCGACAATATGAGGCCTCTATCGGTACAGAATGAATTAATGCAGCTGTTTTTAATAAACAGCTCTGTGCTTTATGGCAATAAAAAATACTAAAATAAAAGACAGGTACGTGCGAGAACATCGAGCATCTGAATGGTGTGTCAAGCAAGACGCTAGCAAGTGAAAAACCCTTATTCGTGGCTCTTTTGTAGAAAGACACACTTGCAACCTTCAACCTTCCAAGATGAATCTGAGTAAACACGTGCTTGCAATCTTAATGACTTTTCCTTTGTATGTGAGAACTGAGAGGCGAGGTGTATCATTTTTATGGTTTCCAAAACCAGAGATTGAACTGAGGCCCTTTCGCTTGCCAGGGAAGCGCTTATTCTGCTGAGCGAATCTCCCCAGCTTGAACTGTTTACAAAACGCTGAAGTGCACCATATTGCTGAAGCCACATGTGTGTTAGTTGTGTGGATCACGGCCTCCTCACATCGCCTCCTCTCTCTTTACGACTACGCTGTCTCGTCGCCGATGGCTTTCCCTTACCTTATTTGTATTCGCGGCTGTGATGACCCAGACGCACTGTGCGTTGCTGTCGTACTGGAATGGAAAGTTGGGGGACGTGAAGGTACCACTCGGTCCCTGAAGGTTGGAGCCACATGTTTTCACTAAAAGAGAAATTGCAATTTGAAAGCTGGGAATGTACCGCATGTAAAATCTTAGAAATAAAGTGACTTTCAAATAGACTGGAAAAATCAAAACTACACAATGAAAAACATCGAAATGTATTTTATTGTTATCTCATATGTGCAAAGCATGACCAGTCATCCTTTGACTGTAATTTGGCTACTTTAGTTAGAGAGAGGCATATATATTAAATTTTGTTTATTGATATGGGACCCACTATGCACCTTAGATTCATAGTGAGGGTTTGCTGGGCTGGCATGGCACACGGTACCGGGCACCCAACTCAAGCCCTTGCACTTTCCAGGCAGGCATTTAGAACGCCGAACTATCGCCCCAGCCCCAGGGAGTGATATATTTATCCAATATGATGTTAATAAATATCTACAAACAAGTAAAGCTTTAGATTGATTAAATAATCTAAAAAGTGTTTTCATTTCTATCTATTAAGTGTCCAAGGACTCATAAAGACACAGCTGAAAGACATCAGTATTAAAACCATTTATTCTGTTGCTGTAATTGTAAATTAGATAACTAAGACCATTAAAAAGGAGCTATATTTAAATAGATTTAACCAATTTCCACAAAAGATAAAAGCTTTAATGTTTCACTTTCTGATTCTTCTTTCTGCTTAATGAAAGTGCATCTACTAATTTGCCTCTTGATCAGCACGAAATTCACAGATGTCACTACTTTCGATCTGCCTTTTTGTATGATTCCAGTAAAATCCGGCTCGCCTTATGCTCTCCAGTTCCTACTTAGCGACCGCGAGCGCCCTCCCATAAAGCGGCTTTCTGTGCGCGCTTGCCCTCTCGCGCTCTTGCTATTATTTCATCCTTGTCCCTGCTCTCCCTTCAGCGTTGCCATTGCTCTCTCTCACTCTCAGAAATGAGCTCATTACTCAGTCCAGTAAACTCATCACTTTTCTGCGCTCTTGCTGTTTAAGCAACGTTGCAAAAGATTAAAATTCGCGAATTTTCTGCCTTCTCTTCTATAGTACCAAACTCTATTTTAAATCATTCTGGTCCTTTGTCTAGTTCTATGTTTTCATCTGCCCCTTAAGGAGTATAATTTTAAATTGATTTTATAGCCTCTTTCCTATTTGATACTCTTTGAGTAGTTACAATCAATTTACTTTTGATCATGAATGTTCACGTCTGTGTCGACAGCTCCCAACTTGACATCACCAGCTTTGGCAGCTCTCTTGATTTCTCGATTGATTTTCTCTGTGATGGACACTCCAGGACATAATTTCAGGAAGCTTTCACTGGACCATTTTTCACCAGCCCCTCCAGTCCAGTGCCAGGAGTGTTTCTCAGTTCCTGTCCACCGCCCCTTGAACCCAACAGTCTACCTTCTTTTGCAGTCTACTGTGCTTCTGTGTCATCTTCACCAACCTATTTCAAGACTCCAATTACTCTGTTGAATCATCCTCAGTGCTACTATATTTATCTTTCCTAAAACACATATTTGATTACTTGGTTTCTTGAAAATTTGTATCTTTTCTATCCTTCCGAGGACCTCAACTCCTTTTCCACTACAATGTCTCGCATTTTACATAATCATACATTTTACTCGTATCAGAATAGATTGCTTCTTTCCCAGGTCTGAAACAACCCTTCTTTGACCATTGTGATGTAATTCTACTCATATAAAAGTAGCCATGCTTGTGTATTGTTTATTTCTGTAAGGAGGTTTCTATTTCTTTCACTGAGAATTCTGTAATGGGTTACTGTGTGCCTTGTACATTATTTGGACAGCAATCAATGTAAGTATTTGATTTCTAGTCACCTGATAGAGCATACAGTTAAGATTCTAAGAAGTCTATAGCAATGAAAATTTAAAAGCAATCACAACATCATTGGTTTGAAGTTAGTAGAAAAAACTTTCTGCTAGTGACATTTATTACTTGGTGATTCTCTAGATTAATGTTGTCTCTAAGTTATAAAAGCATTTGTAATTTTTTAGCACATAGCCTTACTTATCCTGTTAATGAATAGTAAAGTGATTTTCATGATTTGGGGATATTTACAACAGGAACAAACTTAAGCAATCTTTGGCACAGGTTTTAAATGGACTATACACTAAATAGTCTCTTGCTTTTGATGAATAGCAGCAAATATTCAGAAGAATGGGAAAATATTGTGTTGAAAGCAATTTGCTTTTCACATAGCAATAGGGAAGACCGGTCTAAATGCACATAAAAATATTCTATAAGCATGTTGGTCTCTATCTGCTTCCATCCAAACCTGAGAGTAAACACTTAACAAGTAGGCTTGTATTTTTGCATACATTTTTATTGTACATAAATGGATTTACAGGCCGTCCAAATAGCTCAGCAGATTAAAGTGCCTGTAAGCAGACACAGGGGACTGGGGTTCAATCCCCGGAACTGCTGTGCCAGCCCCACCCCTGGTGCTTGCTGAGGCAGCAACTGAGACTGGGTATGGTGGTGCGTGCCTGAAATCCCAGCTTTGGGGAGACTGCAAACAAGTGGACCACTACAAGCCCAATCTGTTAGTGAGACCCTGAACACCCTGAAGACCCTTCTGTAAAGTATAAAAATAAATAAATGGATTTACATTTCATGGGTTTATATTCACAGGTGGGTTGACAAGATTCTAAGAATGGAAATAATTTGATGTACATTCCT